AGTATAAATGTTTTTAAGTAGTTTTAAAAAAAAAACCTTTTAAGTATAGAGATTTAAAATGAAAAATAACATATGTAAAGTAATTTAAATGAGAAAAAAGTTTATATAGAGTCAAGTCTCTAAACAATCAAATTAGAGCTCACGTAAAAAAAAATTTCACTAGAAGAGGTCGGTTTCATGCTCAAATATCCTCAAATTGATCACCTCGACATCAAAATACATGGACATGAGAAACAAATGGATTTCAAGTTTTGGAAATAATGCATCTTGTAATGCATTTTTGGACCGGCAATTTTCAAGTTTTCACAGATCTGCTCGAGCTACACTATTTTTGAAGCTTTAAATTTTATACAGATGAAAATATAATTTAAGGCTATTACAAAAATTTCTAACACTGAAACCACATTTCTCGACACCATTTGAATATGCGCTTTGTTTTGATTATTTAGAGCCTAGACTCAATACAAATCGCACCCTTTAAATTATCATAAAAAGTAATAAGAAAGGGATTTTCATTAAAAAATATTAAATATATAAATGTAATTAAGAAAAATAAGTAGTAAAATATGGACACCTTTTTCATCTCTTTGCATCAAATGAATATTTTTTATATATCTAAAAATGCATAATAAATGTGTAAATTGGTTATAATCTATCAATCTATTTTTAGGACTGGACAAAACTTTCAATTTCATATTTTAAAATTTATTAACAAAGTGAGATATGAGTTATGGACAAAAATTAAAAGCATAGGAAAGTGACCGTTTCTCTCTCTAAATATAGTTTCTCTAAAAAGTTTAATGCAGGTTTTGACTTTAAAATTTTTTACATAGCTTCTCTCTCGAAAATTTGAAATTTGACATCTTTTGAAAACTTCAAAAATTTTGATAATTTCTCTCTTTAAAAAATTTGAGGTAGTTTCTTTCTTTAAAAATTTGAAATTTAACATAGCTTCTCTCTCTAAAAACTTTGAGGGTCTCTCTCTAAAAATTTTAAGATAGTCTATCTCTAAAAATTTTGAGCTATTTTCTCTCTCTAAAATTTGTAGTTTGATGTAGTTCTCTCTATAAAAATATTAGGATACTTTCTCTCTCTAAAACATAAATTTTAAGATAGTTTATCTCTCTAAAAATTTTGAGAAAGTTTCTCTTTGTTCAAATTTGAAATTTGAGATAGCTTCACTCTTTAAAAACTTTGAAGTATGAAATTAGATGTAGTTTCTCTTTCAAGAAATTTTGAGATAGTTTCTCTTCTTAAACTTTAAAATTTGAGATAATTTCTCTTTCTCAAATTTTTTCTAAAATGTTGTAAAATAGTTTTTCTTTTTAAAACATTTAAGATAGTTTTTTTCTAGATCACTAAATATGGTTTCGGTTTAGTTTATCTATCTAAAACATAGTTTCCAAAAGCGTCAGGCGGGTCCTAGGCGGCCTTGAGGGTCGAGGCTGCCCAGCGCCTAGGCGGTCGCTCAGAACCTGGGCGGCCCAGTCGAATCCAAAAAGGATGCCTAGCGCCTAGGTGATCGCCTAGAACCTGGGCAGCCTAATCGAATCCAAAAAGGATGCCCAATCAAATATGTTTTTAAGGACTCAAAATCTTCTAAAAAACTTCCCAATAAATTTATAAAACATCAAAAATTAAATCTAATATCACTGGGTGATGTTTTGATCAATTTTTATCAACTTTGGAAAAAAAACATTTCCGCCCCTGGGCGGGTTCCGTACCGCCTAGGCGGGGCGTAGGCCCTGGGCGATTGGCCGCCTAGGGACTGCTGCCCAGATTGACCACGTAGGCCTGGGAGATACGCCCAAACCTTTTGGACCGCCTAAGTGCTAGGCAGTCCACGATTTGAATCACTGCTCTAAAACTTAAATTTTGAGATGGCTTCTATTTTTTACAATTTTGATATGGCTTCTAGTTTTTTACCCACCTCATAAAGGTGGGGAGTTGTTTTTATATGACAAGGGTCATTGGCAAATGTTTTTCAGCATGGACTAAATTTCGACGTGTTTAAAAGTACAAAATAATAACATTTATTTCATATGAAAAAAATTTCAACGGATTATTTTCGTACGAACTAAACGACTGTGCTTTTGCGTAGTTTATGGTATTTATGTACATTTGTTTTATTTTTTGCTGTGCCCAAGGTGCTCGTTGGGCCACGTGATTTTTCACTACACGACCAGCACTTCTTAGAGTATCACTGTCATTAATAGTCCCACCCACCTTATTATATTGGAAAATTTTTATATAGAGTCGAGGCTCTAAACAAGAGGTTGTTTTGATGCCCAAATATCCTTATATTGATTATCTTGGCATCAAGATGCATGGACATGAGGGAAAAAAAAAAGTATTTCAAGAATAGAAAATAATGCATCTTGTAATATAGTTTTGGACCGTCAATTTTTAAGATTTTCAAGTTTTCATAGATAGATATGCTTGATCTACATTATTTTTGAAGTTTTAAATTTTAAATTAAAAATAAAATATATTTTAAGGCTATTACAAAGATTTATAATATTAAAACCACATTTCTCGATACTATTCAAAAGTACGTTTTATTTTGATTGGTTAGAGTCTTGGCTCTATACAAACTGCACCTTGTTATATTAGCATATGGCGCATTCCTAGTTATTTGTACTAGGCCCCGGTTGTTTGTTCCAGACCCACGCACCTATACTTAGCCAAAAGGTATCGATCGGATGTCGGAATGAAAGCAGAGCAATTATCGATGGGAATAAGGATTGATTCATAGGATATGTCCATCACTGTGTAGCCTGGATTTCATAGGAGTACCCAAACACCAGTGGGGAATTTCTAAATGGGTTTGCATGTAATGAAACCATCTATCTTTGTTACACGGATGTCAGCATTGGGCATTGCTATTCGCCATTAGATATCATATTGGATAGCTTGGATGTGTTATAAAATTTGAATTTTTTTTTTGAAATCTAACAAATAAATGATCATTTTGTATACTTTTTATTTCTGAACAACTGCCATCTAGTATAGGGTAAAGAGTAGTTTAAATAAAGGGAGAGAGACACTCTGACAAAGAGCAATTAGCTTGAGAAAGAGAGAGAGGGGAGAGAGAGATGGCACCTTTGTTGGTGTCAAAACAACAATTAGCTCCATGGGGGGAGAGGGTCTCATCACCATTCGTCTATTAATCGGATGTTGATAACACTTATGACCCTTTATTTCCATGCTTACTCGCAGTGTGATGGGACCCGCCTCCGTCAAGGCACTCGCCGAGGCGAATTACATGGTCGATTCCTAAGTCTTGCACAGAGTCAAGACCTTTAAAAAATGCAAAAGGAGGAAAACAATTTGAAAAAAAGAAAACAATGTGGTAAATGTAAAATGAAACATAAAACAAATTTTAAAAGTTAAAACAAGCATAAACAACTAGTGAAAAATAGATTTAAAAAAATTGATTTACAATTTCGGATATTTAAAAAACCAAAAATATAGAAAAACAATGATTGTGGCAAAGAATACTCATCAATCTTTTCCAAACATATCTAAAAGAAGTTTGTATAGTATTTTCACATTTTTACAAAATTTTTTTTTTTTTTTCATATACATCAAGTTGTACGCAACTCAGGGGCACTCTGCCAAGTCCCGGCACACAGTAATGAATAGCATCAATATAAAGCAACATAACAAAAGGAAATAATTCAAAAAAAATGCCAAGATTTATATGGTTAATAACTAATGTGACTATATTCACAAATAAAGACGGTCAATGAGTTCACTAACACTACTCCAAAGATATAAGGCTTCTAAAAATACAAGGCAGCTCTCACACGAGAGATCTCATTTCAAAAAGCCCAAAAAAACATAAGGATGCTCTATAGTGTCTCAAACCCTAACTTAACCACATAAAAACGTACTTATTTACAAACATCATCATCAATAGGGCTGAGAATATATCCGGTTTGGATTTGAAACTTGAATTTCGGTTCTTATGTGGATCTGGGTATGGATCCAAAATTTGGATCCAATTCCAAACTTTGGATCTGAATAGTAATTCAGATCCGATCCGGGTAAAGGCGGATCCATTGTAGATCCGACCTAGTTATTAATATATTGCATGTAATTTTACAAATATACATATATGTTATGGGGAAGCTTTCTATGTTTTCTCTATAACATAAAACTTATATACTTCCCCTTATCTAACCGTCCATTCTGAATGGAGGGTTAAGATTGCCCCAATCACAATGTCACGTCTCTACACTTATTTTTTTTTTTTTTTTTTTTATAAACGATTTTGACACCTAATTTTGTACATCCATTCCTCTATTAAACACGCCCTAACGAAAAATATAAAAAACATATTCTCAATAAAATAAAATGATCAAAATACCCCTGAAAGTTTTAAGGGGTATTTTGGTCAATATATTTTATCAAAAAATTATTTTTAATATTTTTTATAGGTGCGTCCCAATGAGAAGATGGCACTTACCAAATTTCATATTCATATAATTCGTATAAAAAAAAACTAAAAATAAAATAACTTTGAGACGTTGGATTTCAGATCACGGTGAGTGGCTCTCTTGATCAAAATTGAACGGCTGGATGGTAGAAGAAGCATAGATCTTCTATGCTGTAGGGGAAGTATAAAAACCTTTCCCATATGTTATATAGTAATTTTTGGTATACTTCTCGGATTCATATCCAAATCCCATGTATACGTTTCGAATCCGAATTTAGATCTCGATGAATTCGGATCCATTCCCCTCTTTAATCATCATCATGATAGCCTTTTCTCAAAACTTATTTGCCCATCATGCCCTCATAATTATGTTCAACCCTGACAATTAGTACAGCAGAACAAATGAGCCAAGAATAAAAAAAAGTGCCTACATAGAGTTCTAAGACATTGGGATACACAACGAAACAAAATCATTTTATCATAATAAATTAGGCAATTCTTTTGCAGCATAGCCCCTATTATCACAATTTAAGGAGGGGGGGGGGGGGGGGGGGGGGTGTTCTAATTAGTACTTAGCCTGGAAGGGCTTTGAATGCTTAAGGCTTTTGGTGATGCCCACCAAGGAGCCTATGGCAGCTATGACAGAGACACTGAGAGAGGCCAGCACCAAGCATTGGAGGAGGAACCACTTCATACTGCCCTTCTTTACATTAGTTTGAGATTTGTGCATAGCAACTGGGAAATATATAGTGAGAGGCCAAAAGGCAATGGCACCAAGGAGGCCAACCACTGAGTTGAAGAAAGGCACCAAAATAGCCACTAGGGTTGTCAACAACACAACAGTCGTGCGCATGATGAGAGAAAAAAGGGTCACTTTCCATATGGTTTGGGTCGAAAATAGTAATTTTACTTCATAGCGTGCTTCTAATAAGAAATTTGATGGCCATTTCGAGGACACTCTATCCTCGATCGCAGCAAAGAGCGGCTGCGCGAAGACCTGCACATGTGAAACCAAACAAATTTAAATAAAAACTTATTATCTTGTGGAAATACACTTGCATAATTGTGGGTATACACTATATTTACATAAAACTGAAAATATAAACACCGGTCACATTCGGTATAAGGATGTCACAATAGCCCTTAGCTATTGGATTTAAGATCAAGTAATAGAGATTGTACCATTGACCACACTTAAATATTCAAATGAAATTTGTTTTGGACTTTGTGATACGTCTGAAACTCTCATATTTTATATCTTGACATATCATAGCTAGGAGTGATTATGATCTTATTGTATAAAAAATAAAGAGTCAAAAATTCCAATACGAAACAAACACTTCCTGCACACACACATGGCTAGATACATTGCATTTGAAAACATGACATGAGCTGCTCAGTACAACGCATACATGCTCCCATTGGAGTATACTCCTTCCGGTGAAAAAGCTACTTAAAAGGAGTTTCTCGATCTGAAATTTTGGGATCCAGTCAATAATCACCGAATGATAAAGAAATTGGACTTCCTAGTCTTTGACACTTATCATAAATTGAACGGTTTATGTCCAATTTTAGGACTCAATGGTCGATAAATTGGCCGATCCAACTCGGAACCGGCCACTAGCCTAGCCGATTTTGGCTGGTTTAGGTGGTCCGGCTGGTTATTTTAAAAATTCAAAAATATACATATAAAATCACAAAAAATAAGAGATTTGTTTGTAATATGAGTTCTTGAATGTTCTTTATTATTCTGGCAAAGATTGGAATGTATTTTCGCCATGAATACTTATGTTAAAATATCTCCGGGCACAAATCGATATTTTGAAATCTATTTTTTTCACAACGTTTAAACTTCATTTGGATGTCTTCTATTTAATTATGCTTTAAATGTACCCTTTATATTTTTTAGGTTTCTTTTTATATTTTAAAAAAAATTTAACTCTTTTTGGCTCACCCGGGACCTACCAGGTTAGACCGGGTGAACCGGCTGGTTTTCAAGTTACTCAGACCCGGCCCTTGGCCAGTTTCCGAGTCCGCTTCGATTTGTCGAACACTGTTAGGACTTATTTTTCAGGCTAACAGACAGTCCCTTCCAAATTTTATCTATTCATTTAACTTTTTAAGTTGATCTATGCTGAAGAGTTACATCCCCAAAAATGTCAGGCCCTAAATATGCTCCTATATTGAGATTTACCGTAGAAAGTAAATGGACTTTTTCCATGAAATCTTTTGAAAGTGAAAAATACCTGATAAGCTCCTAGGAGATGAATCACAATGCATGCATTCCCAATGTCGACAAGCCAAAATGGTTCATAGAATCCAAATCCAGTGAGGATGTTGCCTGGTGTTTTACTCCCAAATGCTGCATACCCAACACAACCAAGAGACGTGTAGAACACGGAAGTCACCACAATCCCATACAATGTAGCTCTTTTCATGACTTTGTTCTCTGGAGGATGTGATCTCAAAGTGTCCTGATTTTCATTGAGCATAAAATGAGAATATATTGAACTTTACCAAAATCACTTATTAGCTACAGTCGATGAAAATGTTTTGCGTATTCATCGCTCCAAATAATAATTTTTCAAAAGCTAAAGCATCGGAGAATTGGAATGACAGAGTGAAGTATATATAGAAAGATTCACCCATTCCTATGTTCATGGAACAAAAGAGAGAGAAGGCACATGCGGCGCTGCAAGACATGTGATGCAGCGCATGCATCCAAGGGTGATTGAGATGTTATCAAGGCACCCTTAGTTCGTGCACCGGTGTGCTTAACGCATCACATTAAGTTTGATAATTGTGGCTAACGCTGTTGTATGAGTGTGCCACAACCACGATTAGGTCCATTGTGGCCACAACTCAAACTATGGGTGCCTGTAACCACTGAAAGAATTTGATAATTAACAATGAGAATGCGTAACTAATTCTTCTATAGAACATTCATACTGAAGAATCGTGTCCCAATCGTGTCCCAATATCTGAAACGGTATCTTCATTCTCTATATAATGGACTCGAACCTCACATTCTGAAAACAATTTTGTCAGCCTCTCTTTTTAACTTATGATTCGCTCCCAAATAAAATGCAAACTCTTGTATTCTGTGGTTCTTAGTTCTTACTGTTTGTGCATATTTAAACAAGCAAAGTTTTATAAATTTAATCTTCTATTTCAAGATATATCAATGATAAGTTGGCCTGAAGTCCTCTAATCATAGTATGAATTTCATACCGATTTCTATCAGTTGGGGGTAAACACTATCTTGAAATATTCGCATCAACATTTCTAACCATTGCCATGAAATTTCTAACGCAATTTTTGAGAAGTTTAGACACAAATCTCTGTACCTGAATTTCTAGTAGAACAGGGGAGAAAGCGTAGGCGATGCCAATATTTCCTAAGGCTTGGAAACTGTTCCACAGCTTGGTTGTCAAAGAGGATTCACCACTGTACAGAGAATTTCCTGCAATGCTTCCTTTGATCACACCATTAGACACCAATTTTGCTACACTTAGAGAGAGGCCTATTCCTGAATAAGCAAACGACATGATCGCTGCGACCCCCGAAGTCACTGCTAATTTGTGCATGCTTGGTAGCTGGGACAATACTACTTGAAACAATCCATACATAACCATAAACATAGCCTCAGATGTCTTGCAACTAGCATTATGCCCATTCTTATGAAAGCAATTTGACTTCTTCACTGCTCTGCATTTTGAGAGAGAGAGAGAGAGGTTTTTATTAGATATGATGGATCTTAGTTGGTGTTTTATGGTCGAATAGAGAAAAAACCATTTAGATGCAGAACCTTGCAATGTGTTCATAAATGTTATACAGAGAATAGGAGACTCTCGACCAACCTATTTTTGGGTGCTCTTGTTTAGGTTTTGCCAAACAGAAGTTTTATGAAGTTAGTGCATGAATGAATCTTGCTTGAGCTTAGTATGCGTGATTTCATATGCTGGGTGGCAATGGACGCGGACTCGTACCCGACATGGGACTCGAGTAGTAGACTCGATTCGGGTCCAGGTATGAGTCCAAAAGTTGGACCCGGCGGGTCTGGGTCCAAATCTTGGACCCGAACACTATTCGGGTCCGGGTCCGGTAATATTTTTTGGGTCCTAATATATGAAATATATTAAAATGTAGTTAAATATATAGATGTTTTAGTTTTCAAGTCCAATAGGGTTCGGACGGGTCCGAGTCCGATTCCGAGTCCCATATCATTTTTTTGGGTCTAGATCCGGGTTTGGATCCGGTAATATTTTTTGGGTCCTAATATATAAAATATATTAAAATGTAGTTAAATACATAGATATTTTAGTTTTCAAGTCCAATCGGGTTCAGACAGGTCTGAGTCCGAGCCTGGGTTCTATATCATTTTTTTGGGTTCAGTTCCGGGTCCGGGTCCGGGTCTTGGTCTGGGTCCAGGTCCGGGTCCAGGTCCGGGTCCGGGTTCGGGTCCGACCGAACCCAAACCTGACCTAAGCCGTTGCTACTACTTTCTAGGTTTCTTTACTTATGCAAATATGGGCATCTCCGTTGTTTGTAATTGTTCATTTTCAAATGCATTTATATATATTTATAGACAAAGCCTTAGGGTTTGTTTGGATGGGCTTCTTATCAGCAATAATTCATTGTTTCAATAAACTTAACCTTGAAAACGAGTTATTTGTTGTTTAACTTTGTCCATTATAAAGTTATCTTAGATAAATTTATAGGTATTATAAATTTATCTTAGATAAATTTATAGGCAGTTTTATAAATAAGTTTATCTTTTTAAAAAGTTGTTTTACTGTATTCAAATTAATTTGCTTACTATCACCTTTTTTTTTTTTTTTTGCTAGAATGGCTAAAAATAGCTGAAAATCTTTGAAAAGTTAAATATTTCATAATATTAAACATAATAAAATATACATATCTCACGACATTTAAAATATTATACATAATAACATACACATATCTCACATAATTTATCTACAAATGATAAGATGCTTCTTTTACTGTTCCGTTTGTTTGGAACACCAGTATTGGCACTCCATCCACCTTGTGAGGTGACAATGGACCCGGACCGGACTTGGGACCTGACATCTAGGTATGGGTCTAAGAATTGGACCCGTCCAATCCGGTTTGGGTCCAAATATTGGACCCGAACATTGTTTGGGCATTGGTCAACCCAAACCCGCTCCGGATAGGGTTATTATATATATAATATTTAATATATAATATTTTAATAATATTTAACTATAATATTTAAATAATATTTAACTATAATATTTAAATAATATTTACCATAATATTTAAATATGTTTAATTTTTTTTTTTGTTTTAGTCGGGTCCAATTGGATCTGGTCGGGTCTGGGTCCAGCTGCTCCCGGATCCAAGTCGACCCATTGCCACCCCTACACCTTAGAAACAACTTCTGCAGCAAGGGAATCGCCTAAAAGATTTTTAAAAAATTTAAGTACGGACAAGAATATAAAGCGAAGTTACGGCAATGGTCTATAATTCCCCAAATTTTATGCCTATATCGTTCTCTTTCACAGTTTTATTATTCCAATTTTGTCCCAATTCAATGTTGTGAATATTGATTTTTTTTTTTTTCAATTGGTAAATCTTGAGATTATAAGATGCACCAGATATCGGATTACCCATTATTTAGATAGTTTGATATCATAAACATAAAACTACCCAAAAATTGAAGCAAAACGGTTCGATATTTCTAACATCAAACCGCCCATACTTCTAAATCTTTTCTACATATGAAATTTTCCAATTCTCTCGATGCCCGCATGGAAATAGTTATTGGTTGGCGAGTACCAAGATTTCTTATGCAACTTATCCCTTGTAAGCTTTAATGCACAAATTTCTTTTTTTTTTTTGGTTTATTTATTTATTTTATTTTAACCTATGAAGTACGTATAAGAATTTCATTAACCTTTGTGATATATAGGTTGAATCCTAACCAAAAGTTTGATATTTCCAATATAAAAGTTATGAGATTGTCTATAAAAATATTATTTATCTTTTGTACATGAAAGTCAAAATCATTTTCACTCGTTAGATGTCAAATTAGATAGCTTGAGGTAGGTCATAAAGTTCGAAAAAAAAATTTAGAGTTTTATGTCGATTAAATGACATTGCAACTACCCATTTTAAAATTTAAAGGACAAAAATGAATGTGACCTGCAAGTGTAAAAGATAAAGTGTGTGGTTTCTATTGTACTGCAACATTAAACAATCCAATTAAAGTGCACTTCCAAAAATTTACCATAACATGTAATTTTAGTGTAAAAAATCCTTAGGATTTTTTGAAAGTTTATTTTCATATCTAATTATAAAATTTTAAACTCCAAAAATATTTAAGATCAAGTAGATCTATAAACATATGAAAATCTTAAAAAAGGGACAGCCTAGATAATGTGTTACAAGATGTATTATTTCTGGGACTTAAAATCTTTGCTTGTTTGTTTTTTTCATATTCATAAATCACAATGTCGATATGTTCAATTAAAGCATTTTTCAACATTAAAACAAGATTTTTTGATGGATTTTTTAGGTGTATTTTTAGTTCTATATTTTAAGGTTCCAACCTTCTATTCATTAAATGACTTATTTGCAGACAAATCCCATTTGTTGATATTTTTTCTCTTTTTTTTCACTTCGTGATTTTAGAAGATGTTGATGACATTTAGCCAAACCAATGCACACATATACCTTAATAGATCAAGCGCACCTTTCAAAAAAAAAAGGCATGGGTCGTCGAATGTTTCCGGTGTTGGAGATATCGGACCGTTTCATACTTTAAAAGTGTGGGGCTTTTGATATCCGGAATATCTAATTGCTCCAATCTTAATGTAGCTCGATGTTTCTAATACGGGATCACAACAAAAACGGTGCGGTCCCGCATACACGGCATTCTACTACAATTTAAAAAAACACAACAAAAACGTAGCGGTCCCATATCTAGGGCATTGTACTACTCTAATTTTAAAAAAAAAATATTTCAATTATTTATCTAGGGCATTGTACTACTCCAATTTTTTTTTAAAAAAATTCAATTATATATCTAGCACATTCTACTACTGCAATTTTTAAAAAAGTTCAATTATTACATAATGGAAGCAGAGGAAAATTTGGAATATATATATACCATACTATAATTTCGCATTTATTTTCAAATCCTTGATTCAAGTTCTCCAAATTTTCAATCATTCTCTCACAGTTCAAAACAATTTTCTTCCATGAGAGCGAGGATAAGAATACTTACATCATACTGGTTGATGCGATGATGGTGTACCCAATAATTATACCCCAAAGCAGAGCATACTGTGCTATTGCACACATTATTAAACTTCTTGGACCTACAAAGGAGCATCTACATGTGAGAAAGAGAGAGAGAGAGAGAGATCAACTTGTGATTTATAAAAGGGTACAGTTTCTATGGGTCGTAGGACTCATATGGAGAAAACGAGTCTCCTCTTAAAAATTTATTTTTGAGATAGATTTTGGATCTAATGCCATTTTATCTAACATGGAAATCATAAATATAAAAAAATAAAATAATAATAATCTAAAAACTGAAAATCATAATTTCATAATAAAAATATCTAGACCATTAGTTTTAATTTTTTTTTTTGGAAGGATTACTCATTTTGAAAGATAGATGCCAATGTTGTTAGATTCGCTTCGGAGTTTGTTTCGATTTAATAAAAAAACATGAAACAATTCGGTACTTCAGTCAATTCGGAGAAAGATTCAAGATTTTAACTTTAATTGAATATAAATAAAATATGGATTTATATATAATATATTAAAATAAAAAACATCAAAGAAATAAAAAATATATACGCATTGAATTTATATTTTTGTGCGAGGACATGACCATCCTTTTGGCTTGATAATCAACTTGTTTTATTTTAATAAAAGCAATGGATAATAATGGAATTTTACAATGATAAAAGAGATGGTAAATGGTTGGTTTGTTTTGAAGTTTTATTAAAAACAAAGGTTGTACTTTGTGGAAGAGGATGAGTGATTGAAGAGGGGTACCCTACAACCAAGTGTGCAAGGGTTACTCTATGCTCAAAAAGTTCGGAGGCCCGCAACGCAATGTTGTTTTCACTTTGAATGGTGAAATATTGCGTTTATTCGCTTTTTTTCCGAAGACTTCGGGTGTTTCGCTCAAAACAAACCGAATATACGCTTTATGCATGCAAATGTAGGAATGCATGCATTGGCCTACACGACAATGATAATTTTAAAAAATTTAAGAAATGCATATTTCTAGGGGTGTGGTTTGTATAACATTGCAACCTTAAACAATTAAATTAAGGTGCATCTCCAAATTTTATCATAAATATAATTTTAGTGTCAAAAGTTTGTTTTTAGGATGGCAGCAATGGTTTTAGTGTCGAAAGTTTGTGTTTAGGATGGCAGCAATGGCTCGAGAATCTTCTATTTTCATGTCCAAATATAAAATCGCAAACTCGAAAAACAGTTCAAATGAAGTTGATTTATAAATTATATATAAGTAGTTTTGCATAAATTGAAGGCACTTGCCTAGAAAGGCTTTGACAGCATCCTTGTAAGTGTAGTTTCTCTTTCCTGCGTGTGGGTGTGGGTATCTATAGCAGTCAGCTTGAAGGGTCGATGCGTAATAAGTCACACAACCAAAGCCAAGAAGGAAGAGAGGCCCAATAATCCAACCAAGTTGAGCAACGCTCCAGGCCACCCCCAGGATCCCAGTCCCAATTATTGCTGTAATCACATGGGCTGTTGCAGTCCATACTGTTCCTGTATTTCAAATACAAATGATCGTCGGAGAGAGTCTCACCACCGTATCAAATTAACATCAAAGAAGAGAAATAGTTCAGTATTTTTTTCAGAGTGATCGAAGACTTGGTCGAGTTGAATCAGACTTAGCCGAGTACCTCGGCCTTAGCCGGGGTGCCTTTTAAGCAAAGGAAAAATTAAAATAGGGCGATGAAAAGGTTAAATTAGTTAGGCCGAGGTTTTATGAGAAAAAGGTAAAGCCTGACATTAAAACTTATTGAGTTGGAGAATCTTCAAATCGATTATCTCCGCCTGGATCATTTTGGTTGTGAAAAAAATTAGAATATCAAAAACTAGATAGTGTATGTTGTAACATATTATTTAGGCTATTTATTTTGAGGCATTCACATATCAACAAGAACCAGGCCTTTTCGGACTTCTTTTACTTTTTATTTTTACCCTTTTTTTTTTTTTTTAGCATATTTTAATTTTATTCATTTATTACAATTTTTGAATTTTTTTTGAGCTTGTATACTACTCGGATAAGTCCATTCAAACTCATTTGAATTGATCAGCTTAGATAAGGACCCAGACCAAAGCCCAAGCCCAAGCCCTAGCCCGAGCCCACGGGCACACACACATTGTCCAGTTTGTCCTTACCGGTTCTCACACGTCCATCGTCACTTTTCTCAGCACCATCGAACTCACGTCGTGCATCTTCCTCCATCTCCGTGTCCATGGAACTACAAACTTTCGAAAGATATCATATCCATTTTTCATTAAGCATGTTACACAAGTTAATTCGTAAACTAGTACGTGTTTAGTTTCAACCGTCAGTTAAAAAATTACGTGATCCAGATTGAAACAGGTCGATTTGGATTGGAAATCGATCGAACTGATCTGGATTCTGTAAAATATCGAGAAGCGGCTGATTTCCCCCATGAACTTTTTTGTCTGGTCCGTAGTAATTCTCTAATAAAACTGACCTCTTCAGTCAAAGAGCCGGTACGAATCGGCTCCACATTTTGGTAAGAAGAATAAGGAGAGAGAACTTACCTTCTATAAAAAAGATAGTTTACTTTTTGTAAAAAAAGCCAGAAGAAGAGAGAACTTACATTCTATAAAAAAGATAGTTTCCTTCTTTTTTTTGTAAAAAAGGCCACAATTATTTACTCTTTTTTTGTAAAAAAGGCCACAATCATTTTTTGCCTTTGGAAAAATTTAAAGTTTGCACGAAAGAGAATTTCATGACAACCACCCTAGTGTAGTTAGTTTAAAGCATGTCATGAAAAACACGATTAAGTGTTTATGAGTCTAGAATTATTGCTTTTTATAAACAAAAGTTCTAACGAGATGAATTAGAACTTTGCCAAAAGGATTGTGACAGGCTTATATTTTGGAAGGTGTTTTATGCAATGGGATTGTATACAATGAAACCATTTATCTCTTATACAATAAAGTCACAATTACTTATAACCATTTGTAGTAAAATTTGATAGCTTAGATGTGTTACAAAATTTGAAAAAAAAAAAATTTGAAATTTGAGCTTAATCAATGGATAAATGCAACCATCAAATTTCACATGCAACGGTCAAGATTAATTGTGACCACCTTATACCAAAGATAAATGGTCTCTTTTTATACTTTTCCTTATGCAATACAAGCACTTTTTTAAGGATGCGATTTCCCAAAAGCTTTTACTATTGGATTCCTTTCAAAATCCTCACCATCTAATATAAAATGAAGTTGAATGATTTTCTTCTCTTGCAAGAGCATATACTATCCACCTGCTCTATCGGATACCCATAGTATGATTTTTAAGACCTCAAATTTTGGGGTTGTAACTTCTCGAACCTAGGGACAAACATCAAAATTAAATTATCCAAACCCCACTCTCTTAGAACAAGGACTATCTAATTTTTTTGACGGTAAGATCTACATGTTTATAAAATCTATCATTATCATCATCTAAGTCTTATACCAAGTATTTGGGGTTGGCTATATAAATCATGTTCCGTCATTCTGTTGATAAGTTAAGGATTCACGATAAGATTTGACAAAATTTTACGTTCGCTATCCTATCCAACACAACCCTCCTCCTTTACACAGTATGGGGACCTGCAAAACCAACTTGGGATGACCAAGGTTATTATCCACATATCGTAAAATTTAAAAGGACTTGGTTTCTATTCGGCCAAGCCCGCATATGTAGAAATGTTGGCGCCTTGATAAATCGATTTTTCAGATGGATTTTAAGACTTAATTTTTAAGGATTTGTAATTGCTAACATGGAGATCATGAATATGAAAAAATAAATAAAATTTTTAAAATAGAAATAATAATTATAGTAAAAAAACATTTAAGCGGTTAGTTTACTTTTAGATGGAACAACTACTTGCATCCATCTTTAAGTTGGACGCTTTACACTTTCTTGACCACATATGTAGAAATGTGGTCCAGCCCACATGAAACAATTTCTTAATTTAAAATCCAAATATTTTTTAACAAATATATAGAGATTTCAGTGGCTTTAAAATTTTCAGATAAAAAAAAAAGTCGACCCAAGTGGCACTTTTGCCTAAAGATATAAATGTACAATATGATCCAATGCGATCATTCTAAACATGGAAAGTCGTCTACCTCAAGGCCTCATTAGTTGCATTGTACATTTCACATATTGACAAATGTACCCTCATGTCCCCTTAAGGTAGCATTGTTATGAACCCCCAATCCACCTCATTTTCTTAAAAAAAGTTTGCATTTATATATATATATATATATATACTTTTTTATTTTTATTTTTTTTTCAAATTTCCTATTTTAGATCTTCAAGATCCAAAATAACAACAACTTCATATCAAAAGTATAATAATATTATCATGGTCTGAAGTCAAATTTTATCGAAATGACTTCGGATCTTGAAAGAAGCATTCCAACAAGTCCTGACCTCAGACCTTAGAAATCCAAAATCAACACCTTCTCAACTTTTAAGTTAAGTGACTTTTCTTGAAAAAACAAAATAATATATGATCTTGGTTTGGACCCTAAAAATTTGAGGAATATGATCATTCTTGAAAACAAAAGGACAGCTATAATATCCCGATAGAATCCCCCAAGAATAATGGCACCCTTCTACTCTAATTCTAAGTTCTACTCTAATTCTAAACACACCTCCAACTAGTGACTTCTAAATCTATGCCCAAAGGTAAATTTAAACATTTCGTACTAAAAATAAGCAAGTCTTGTAATATACAATCATCATCAACATAGTTTTTTCCCAATTAATTGAGGTCAACTTTGCAATATGCATTCCTGTTAGAAAATATTGTTGGTCTTGATCAGGATGACATGTTCACCGCATCATCCGTCCTAGAACTCCTCGTTTCTAGGACAGCGGTAGGGTGTTTGATCCTTCTAATGCAATTATGTATGTGTGAGAGAGAGAAAGGGCACCTTAAGAGGAGTACTAGAGGCCTTTGTGTCAAAAGAATTGAGGGGGATTTCTCTTTCCTTCCAAAGTTGGAGAGAGTGATCGTAGAAGGCTTCGCACCCAAGCAATAAGAGTGTCTTGTGGCCTCTCTCTCTACAAATGCTCATACCGGTAGATGTGCTAGATGGACTCACACTATTTATGGCAATATGTAGAGAAGGAAAAAGTTTGTATAGAACTGAGGTTCTAAACAATCAAATTAGAGCCCACCTCAAACCTTTCACTAGAAGAGGTTGTTTTGATGCCTAAATATCTTTAAATTGATAATCTCGACATCAAGATGTATGGACATGAGAAAAAAACATAGTTTTGAAAATAATACAACTTGTAACGTATTTTTCAACTGTAAATTTTCAAAATTTCTGCTCGATCATTACTATTTTTGAAACATATATGCCCATTATCCTTCACCATGATCATTTCCCTTCACCATGATCATTTCCTCGATTTCCATTGAGAAAACGTCAACTTCAGTTGATTAATCGTTGACTAATAAAATGGTCGGCTCATTTATTTTTATTTTTAAAAGAAAATCTAATGAACATCAACATTTAGCGACATGTGCCCTGGCACACAAAAGAATTTAATACAAACTGAAGATAAAAAAACAAATGAAAAGCAAATAACCTAGAGCATGACCCACTTGTCCACCACCATGGTTGTCCTAATTGGCTTTTGTCATTTAATCTCAACTGGGTTTACTACATATTTATCTTTTATAGCAAAGAATAAGTACTTTATCATATTTATCTTCTATAGCAAAGAATACGTACTTTCTCCTGAAAAGAAAAAGAAAAAGGAGAAAGACTTCCTTTTTTTATACTTGTTAATAAAAAAAAAGAAAAAAAAAAGAAAAAGAAAGAAAGCAACCCAACATGGCATAAAGTGATATGGTCATGGGCAAATGGAGTCAACTCCAATAGCAAAGCCACTAACAAAAAGTTTAGCTCATATGCTATGCTTCTGGGAGCATACTACACATTTGGAAGGAATATTATACACATTTGGGGATTCTTTCAATATAATGAGATCATTTACTTTTGATAAAAGGAGGTCACAATTACTATAATCATCCAATGTGAAATCTTATAGCTTGGGTGCATCGAGGTCACAAATATTACAATCATCCAATGTGAAATCTTATAGCTTGGGTGCATCGCAAAGTTCGATGCTCAAAGATAAATGGTCTCAAAGATAAATGCTGCAATCTAATTTCATATCCAAAAGCCAAGATTAATTGTGACTACCTTGTATAAAAGATAAATGGTCTCATTTTATACTTTCCTTTCTTTTCGATCCAAAATTTTAGAAACTACCTAAGAATCATTAGAGAATTATTTTTAAAATAAAATAATGAATTTTGAGTTTTTTAACACTTAGATCACACCCTAAAAAATTGGAGAGTATCCCCTAAATCTTGATGCATTATTTTTTTCGATTGTGTAGAAAGTGAATTTTGGAATTTCTATTTTATTTTATTTTTTCTTGATTTTAATTAAGGGGTTGAAGAGCTTATATCCCTGAAATTCGGGGACTACTCTTAAATTGGGAAATGGGTTAGGGTTAAGGCAATATTCAGAGAAAGAAAAAGTTTGTATAGAGCTGAGGTTCTAAACAATCAAATTAGAGCCCACCTCAAACCTTTCACTAGAAGAGGTTGTTTTGATGCCTAAATATCCTCAAATTGATCATCTCGACATCAAGATGCATGGACATGAGAAAAAAACGTATTACAAGTTTTGAAAATAGTACATCTTGTAACGTATTTCTCGACTGTCAATTTTAAGAATTTTTTGCTCGATCTTTACTATTTTTGAAACACATATGCCCATTATCCTTCACCATGATCATTTCCCTTCACCATGATCATTTCTCCATTATAATGTGCTCTCTTTCTCTTTTTTAAGGATGCGGTTAGCATCGTGCCAGCATATTGTAGAAATACGGACTTGGCAATAAATATATATTTTAAATATAATTTGATCTTAATTTTTAGAGAATATATAACCTTTAATATAGAGATCATGAATATGAAAAAAAGAACAAATTTTTAAAACTAAAAATATTAATTATATTAAAACAACATTTAAACCGATAGTTATCATTGTTTTTAGGTAGATTATACTCTTTGATCGGATATTTTATAAATGCAAATGCGGTCCAGCCCGCATGAAACAATTGGTCCTTGTTATAATGCTCTCTCTCTCTCTCTCGGGCTATACTTGAAGTTCATGGCTTTCAATTGTCGCTGGAATCGATTGACTTTCTTGTTCCCACTTTAAAAAAAGTAATATGTTATCCCCATTATGGACGGTCTGAACGACACCAAAACAATTGCTTCTTTATTGAGCTACCACAAAAAAAAAAAAAGAGATAAAGGTCCAAAAAAAAAAGAAAGAGATAAAGGTCCAAAAAAAAAATGAAATGAAAGGTTACAATTATTGGTGGCTGTTACATTTAAAATTGGAACGGACCCGGAAGATGCCAATGAACAAGCTTAAAATTCAAAATAAAAGTTCTCAATCTTTGCAACACAGCCGGAGCATACTGTCTGTTTACTCCTTCAGGTAAAACTTAAGGAAGAGTAATTTTAGGACGCTTACCCCAAATTTTGGAATGTAATCTCTTCAACATTCGACATTGAACTCTCTATCTAATAAAAGAAAATGTTGTATCAAGATTGAGTAGATGTGTCTAATTTTTTAAAGGCAAGATCTAAGGGACGAAAAAATTGGAATTCAATTTTATTTTCTTTTGAAACAATCATCTAGTAATTTGTTTAGGTGGTTTCCAAAATTTCTTACGAAAAAAAATCGTTCCAAATAGGTCTTCTTTGGACTGAGGGAGCAGACACACACTATGCGCTTACTGTATTTGTGCTTCTTAATAAAAATCCAAGATGACTCATTACGTGGAATATTTAACTCAAAAATCTCCACCTAAACTTCAATACCAGCAAACCTTTAACTTTCTTGGATTCAAAATTTCAAAAAGAGAACAAACAAAATCCTAAAACTCCAACCTTCAAAATAAACATAAAAAATAATTATCACAACTATAAATCAAAACTATAAGTCAAAACGATCAATTATAAATGTAACCTTCAAAATAAAAATGAGAAAATTAAATAGCTTGACTCTAAATAAAAAGAGCAATGATTCAATGCAACAGTTGTATCATAGTATAATGCCATGTTTGTGGTATTTGTATACCAAATTTTGTACACACACTCTCTCAACAATCAATCCCTCAAAAAAAAGAAAATTTCAATATGAACCCTAGATATGGTCAAAATGAGTCCTCTCAAAAAACGAATATAGACTATTTATTTTGTGAATTTCAAGATCTTAGACTTTATAAACTCAAAATCATTTTTTTCCTTTTTAACATTGTTCATCTAATTATAATAAAACCATCCAAAAAAATTGGAAATGAAAAAATCCTTCTAAGGCTTAGATCTAAGCTTCTCACTAAAATGAACGACCTATGTTAATTGAGCAAAAAAAATACTTTCTAGATTGTGTTTTCAATTTTTTCTTTTTTTGTGATTGTTCATTAGAATGAAAAGAGTGTATATTTCAAAATTTGGACCAAAAAAATGGCCATAAGATGGTTTTTTATGGTTGTTGGATCATATTACTATGCAACGGTTGTATGACTTCATTGCCCAAATAAAAAACCATAAGTCAAAGTTTGAACCAAGAAAAATCAAACTGGACATGGGGCCAGAAGCGATTTAACCGACCTAACGGGTAAACCGGCTGATTCAACCGTTTTAACATGCAAGTCTCGGGCAGCCAAAAATTTGTTGAAAAAATAAAACAGAAGCAAAAAAAAATCTACTAAACAATGAAAAACATATAAAGAATAATTAAAACAAAACACATTCAAATGAAGTTGAAAATTAATGAAAAAATGGATTTTAAAAGTGAGTATTATTGACCAAAACAATTTTTAATATTTACCATAATGTAAAAAGAGTAATTATCCTATGAGACCCTCCCACACCCATGTGTGTAGAATCCTAAAGGATCACCATTAAATTTGGTATATATCTCTAGAAAAGTTATCACATGAGTGTGAGACTTCACTTTTCTAGAGATCTGTGCCAAATTTAATGGTGATCTTTTGGGGTATTAAACACATGGGTGTGGGAGGGTCTCATAAGATCATTACTCATGTAAAACATATTAAAAAAATGTATTACAAATCAAATTCCTTATTTTTTGGATTTTATAGACATTTTTTTTGGAATTTTTATTTTTAAAATACCAGCCGATCACCAAAACTGAAACCGGAACCGGCAAGGGGCCAATTCCGATCTAACCAGGCAGTTACCGGTTAGATCAAGCGGTTTTTCAAACAATGGGCTTGGAAGTGGACAGTCAAACTATTATACGTAAAATCGAACCGAAACGGTTAACCAGACATGGGCCAAGAAGCGGTTTTAACTGGCCTAACCTGTAAACTAGCCGATTCAACTGCTCTAATCGAGCAAGTCCCTGGTGGTCAAAAAAGTGTTGAAAAAAAATAAAGAAGATACAAATTTTTTTTTATTAAAACATGAAAAGCATATAAATAATGATTAAAACAAAACACATTCAAATGAAGTTAAAAATTAATTAAAAAAATAGATTTTAACCCATTTTATATTTTTCAATAGCTATTTTTAAAATTTTCTAAAAAAGATGGAAAAATATAAAAGTGAGTATTAATAACCAAAACATTTTTTAATCTTTACCATGATATAAAAAATATTTAAAAATGCATTACAAATCAAATTCTTTATTTTATTTTATTTTTTTTTTAAATACCGATTGATCACCCTAACTGCACAAAACTAGAACATGCCAGTTAGATCGGACGATTTTGTGAACAATGGTTCAAACTCAACTATTTTCTCTCATAGCATCTTGAGTTTGTGGGTAGTGTGAAAGGAAAGTATATATTGGCTACCAAGTTAGTACGGAAAATGTATATTATAATCAGCATATATGAGAAGGGTAGCTATAATATCATGTATTTTATCGTAATTCTAGGTATAGTCTAAGTGTCTTTGATATATTTCTATTCTTTTCATCTGTATTTGTTTAT